CTCATGCTCCTGCTGTCAGACAATGCCCAGAAGTGAATCAGGAAAAAACTCTCCTTTAAGCTGCTTTTGTCATGGCATTTTATCCCCGCAACAGGAAAGTGAACTCGTCTTAAAACCTCTCCTTTATAAGCCATTATGCCCATGCAGGCCACCACAGAAAAGCTGGAGCCCTGGAAACGAGACGGCCTCTGAGGACAACAGGGAGATTGGCTCCATTAGTGGTTACAGAATCACAGAAACTCAACTTGAACGTGTCTGCTCCTGAACTCTGGGTGTTTGCCCACTATGGGGCACACGGTATCTTTCTTAGGAACACTCATATCAGACAAAGAAGGGAGTACACCGAGGGTCAAGGCCACACAGACCACTCATGCCTTGATGCTTTGGGGTGAGGCTAGGAGCTACGGGACTGAGCAGCAGAGGGAAACTGCTCTCAGACACCCCTAAGTCGCTCCTCGGAATCTCCGGGCCCCAAGACCCGTGCATCCCTCTGCAGCTGATCTTTCCAAGTGTGTGTTCAATCCTGCTCTTGGTGCTCAGGACATTTTTTCCCACCTTCCTGCCCTCTGATGATGCAGTCACAAGCCCCACAGTCGCAAGATCTGCAGCAGGCTCTGGGGCCAGGGATCATGCTTGCTGATGTTCCTGCCATAGATTCCCTGTGAGGTCAGATAGGATATACAAACTGTGCTTCAGTTTCATTGATAGGGTTGTTTGTGTTGGTAAGTTGACATTCAGTCCAAGTACAACTGAAAGAGATGAGCAACACTGAGCAAGAAGCTTCTACTAACCTAAGTTCTAGGTGACATGTGACTTTCAGGCGTGGAGACCCTCTCTGGGTAAGACTGTGGAAAATAAAGAGTCCAACCCCCAAAGAGATGGAATTTCACAGCCATTGAAGAAGGGAACTGTGGGTGAGAGACAAAGAGGGGAGGAGAAACTCTCTCCTTGGAGAAAACTCTTGCCCCTGAGCCCAAGCTGCCTTCTGCAGCACCCCCTCATTGTCCGCCCACCAGGTCTGACCCTAGGCTTCTGGTGCCCACTCTGAGGTTAGGACCATAGTTTCCCCAACTGACTGGGGGCAGGAAGGGCTACCATGGGGAGCCCTCAGCTTCAGACCCTCATTGTACAAGTGAGAACTTCAAAGAGAAGTAGAAAGGACTGGCAGGAGCCTCTTCTTGTCACACACAGATCCAAGACTCTCTCTTCATAGCACCATGTCAGAAATTTCCAGAGAATCCCTTACCTTACTCAGGGTTCCAAGACTTTCTGGAAAGACTAGCTGTCCTAGTTTGCTTCTCTGCTCCTGTGGTAAACAACCACAACTGAAATAAACTTGGAGGATGAAGGGGCTTGTTTGGTTTACAATTCCAAATGACAGTGCCTCAGAGGGGAAGCTAAGGGGAGACCCCGGAGGCAGGAGCTGATGCAGAGGCCATGGAGGAGTGCTGCTTACTGGCTTGATCCCCATGGCTTTCTTGGCCTGCTTTTTTTATAGAATCCAGGACCAACAGCCCAGGGCTGGGACTGTCCACAACAGAGTGGGCTTTCCCACATCAATCATCAATCAAGAAGATACACCACAGGCCAGTCTGATGGAGGCAGCTCCTCGCTTGAGAGTCTCTCTTCCCAGATACGTCTAGATTTGTCAAGGTGACAAAAATCCAACCAGCACACTAGGAATGTACATTCTAACTGATACAAACTCGAGGCACAATAGGAACCAAAATGACTCTGGGGTCAATGTGAGAGCTCAACAGCCTGGAGCTTCAACAGGATGAATGGACACAGAATGCGCCCTGATGACACACCCCCGCACCCACTCCCAGGCCACGGGCATCTGGATAGACCCTCCCATACAGAGTTGGCCTTATACCTGGCACAGCAGCATCCGGCCCTTCTTGCTCTCTTCTCTCTGGACAGAAGACACCCAGATGATGTAATGTTCTACTGCTTGCCCTGTCTGGCAAGCGGCTGCAGACAGAGAGGGTCAAAGCAGGCAGCGAGGCTCCCCAGAATCAGAAAGAAGGCAAAAATGGTCTGATTCTCCATTCCTCAACGTGAAGGTGTTAAGGGGCATCCAAATACAGGGACCCCATTCCACCACCACCCGCAGCACCTGAGCATCTAGACCTGTGGTTACTCTGGACCGAGTGGCTTGTTACAGTTTCCTGCCGCGCACACACACACACACACACACACACACACACACACACACACACACACACTTGGCTTTTGCTGTAGCACCGCAAACCTCTTGATCTCACATACCCCCTCACCCATACACGGGCCCCTCACTATACATCAATACTGCTCTCTAAAAATATAAGCAACTGGTTATGCTTATTTCCAGTCTTTTGCTCTGCCCTATGAAGTCATGTGTGTTAGTCCATGCCAGCAGCAACCAGAGAAGAGGATCTCCAGGGGGCCCAAGAGCATCCTCATGGGACTAGGGAACATCCCCAGTCCAGTTGAAAGCTGCAGCCAGGTGGTTCCCCCTCCCCTGCCCCAGGTCTTGGGGATTCCCATCAAGAGAGTTAGCAAAGCAGAAACTCTGATTTGATTGTTTGGGAGCGAGGCCCCACGGCTGTTGGCTGGCATTTTTTTTTCAAATCTCCCCAGGTGATTCTAATGTGCAGGCTTAATGTATTACCTTTCCCAAGGGCATCTGCGCTTCAGTAGCTCCAAGATTGGAGGAACGGCGGTGGCATGCTGGGGTACCAAAGCAGCTGTGGTAGAGAAATGCCCAGACCAGGGTCAGAATGCTGGGTCTTACATCCAAAGCCATCCTTGGTGCTCTGGGTCATGAGGCCACCTGCCCACATTAAGTTCTCTTTCCAAGAAACAAATGTGGGGCCACAGTGGATCAGAAATCACTTAGAGACTATACGGCTCCACAGAGCTGAGGCCTATTTGGACCCAAGAGGAAACATTCACTGCTTACACTGAGATGTGGGGACCAGAAGATGCCACTGGAGGACCGAGAGGTCATGGACAGGGTGTCGCTTAGCGGTGTGACTCTCTGACAGTTAACCCAGAAGCTGTAGCGTATCTCCTTGACTGTGGAGTTTTCCTCTCCCCTGGCTGTCACCCCAGGGAACAAAATGGAGCCGCTGAAACTCTATTTGCCAAAACTGAAAAAATTCAGGAAGAAAAATGGGTGACTGGATGGAATGAGATGGTGCAGAGCTGTTGGGAGGAAGAGAAATCAACTGAAAGGGAAGCCAGAAAAAAAAAGAGGCCCCTGCCAAAGACCGCGTGGAAGCGCGGTCCGGGGCTGGACTGCCATCCCTGCCTCAAACCGGGGGAAAGGGAAGTAAGTGTCCGGAAGGAAACACAGACAGGCGGCAGAGTAAGAGGAGGATGAACCAAAGAGCCTAGCCCTGCATCCAGGTCCTTCCAACTGTAGACTCCGGAGGAATTTCCCAAACCTGGCAGGCCAAAGCTGAAGGCAGAGTGAGGACGCCATCTAGCGGCAGGGGCCGGAAGGGGGAAGGGGCCATGGCTAGACCTGCGCCTCCTGGGGGGTGGGGCAGACATAAAGGCTGGCCAGTCTTCCTCAGTGTGAAGAAAGGAAAGGTGGGTGGAAAGACGGAAGGAGTGTGAAAAGGATGCAAATGCCCAGCAGGAAGAACACCTGAGCCTAGACAAGTAAGAAGTCGCCCCTGGGAGTTAATGGGACTCGTGGCCCTGCCAGGCAAAGGCTGGGCTTTGGAATCTCTTGCAGGCACAGGGAGGGGCCCCAATGGTCTGGAGGGGAAAGGCAAAGAGAGGGAGCCATCTGGTGTCTGGAGGTGGAAGGCAGCCGGTGTCTGGTGTCTGGGAAGTGGGGCGTGGGTGGGATGCATGGGACCAGGGCAGAGGACAGTACCCACACTTGTCCCCCGACCCCCTAGCTGGGGTCCTAATCTTGTTTTCAAGGCAACAAATATGAACAGTGATTGCTTTTTATCCAAGTGTTTCTGCAACCTGCAGCAGGAAGCAAGCTGCCCTTAGGTACAAAATAAAACAACAGCAGGGCTTATAATGAATCTTTATTTCCTTATAAAGATCCTCCCTGCCTCCAGGAAGGCCAGCCCTTACCAGGCTCTCTCTGGAACTAGCATCCCTTGTCCCTAGAGATGGAGTGGGGGTGGGCAATAGGCCAGTGCAGAACCAAGTCACAGCGAAGGGGGAGCTCATCATGTCTGGGAACTCCAAAGCCAGCTGTGCCCACATGGAATGCCGAGCTTCAGGGGTTTGCTTCCAAAGCACATCCACCCACCCCATATCATTCTGAGGGGAGTGGTCTACAGGTGCAGGATCCACTCGCCGCCGGTCTATACTCAAAGACATCCATTAAAGAGTGCTGGCCAGCACTCACTCACACAGCGAGAGAAAAGATGGGGAAGATGAGGCTCCCGGTCTTGTCTGGTCCAGCACCTCCCAGTGACATGACAGCCACATGCCATGCGGGCCTACCCTCCTGGGTCAAGAACAGCAGCTCCCTTTTGTATCTGTTTTTCCTGGAGGCACGCACACACAGGACACGGGCTGGCTCTTCCCTTGGCCTGCATGAAGCTAGGGCTGCTTCCCACCAGGAGTCTGCACTTGCTTCTTCACAAACCAAAGGGTAGAAAATCCAGTGATGCGGTCATAGAGCCTGGGTCAACCCCTTCCTAAGCTGGGATAGTGAGGCACTGTCCAGGCTGCTGGCTGAGACAGACAGGAGACAGTAGCAAGCACCTTTCCCTTCACCTCCATCAACCCAAAAACATCTAGATTTCTAAGCAAAAGGAATGCTGGAAGACCCCATTGTTTGAGGGCTGAGCTTCAGGCATGTTGGACCCTGAAATGGGACAGGATCAAGAGAGAGAGGCTGGTCCCACGGGAACTCAGTCCTCTGGATGGGTGCTCCATTCCACGTGAATAGCTCCCCCCCCCCCGTTGCCCATTCTAGAGGACTCGCTGCCTGTGAGTAGGATGGGGGAAGGGCCAGAGTAGAAGCCTATAATCCATTAGAACAAGGAATTCCATATTTTATTTCTTGAGAATTTTCTTTTTCTGAAAGACATAAAGAGGATTGGACACTCAGACAATACTGACTTCTAGACAGCCTGTCCTCTTCTCAGATGCCCCTCTATGGGGTCGGAACACTGTCCCCTAGGTCCCTAACACCTTCAGTCTGGAGCCCCTACACCTGGCCAGCTTCTGTCCTTGAAGACTAGATTGCAAAGCTCCAGCGAAGGCCGGCTGTGCTGAGGAACCTGAATTCGGCATTCAGCTCACCCCAGTCCTGCTCTGCTGGGATCGATTGTGGGGGTGGTGCATGCATGAGGCCTTGCCCACTCTCAGTTGCCCCAGGCACAATGGCCTCCACCCACCAAGCACACACCAGCCTGGCCTCCCCCATCCCTATGCCGAGGTGTAGCACCTAGACACACTGGACCTGTGCACCCTGCCCGTCCTGCAGTCCACACTGTACCTGGCCCTCAGCTCCGATGCAACCATCTGCAGAGGTTTGCCTATGACGCGCTCACTGAAACACAATGGAGGACAGTATTTTCAAATTCCCCTAAGGCACTTAAAGCAGCAAGGCTTCAGGTCATGCCACTTGTGATCACCCTCTACCCAAAGATGCTAAGTATTCAGGAAACACTCGGGGTGAGCCTTTTTTCACAACCCAGTGACATCTAGGGGGTGAGGGTGCAAATAAGGTAAATAGGAGTGAGGCAGCTTTGGACTCAAACAATTGAAAGAATGTTCGATGGTTGGAGAGTGGAGGGGACGCATCTGGACTGTCCTTTAAAAACTTATGTTGGCTCTAACCAAAGCATCTACCATTCTAGAGGAAGTAAGGGGGGAAGCAACCCAGCACACAAAGCGGCAGTGCAGGGTATTATTCCAATAAAAGGCTTCCTCCCTCCCGCCCACCTTTACCTCAGTAAAGACCTTTTCTCTCTCCCTCCCTTTTTTTTTAAACTGGGAGCCTTCAGGTGAAAATAAAGCCACAGCAGCAAGAGGGGGGGGGGGGGGGAATGTAGTCTTTCTCAGGGTTAACATCAGAAGACAAGCTTGTGCGGCTTGGCCAATCAGATGCGCCCCTGCCAGCTATAATATAGTGCGAAAGGCAGCCTGTCTCACAAGCTCTCCAGCCTTGCTACCATTTAAAATCAGGCTCTTTTTGTCTTTTAATTGCTGTCTCGAGACCCAACTCCGATGTGTTCCGTTACCAGCGACCGGCAGCCTGCCATCGCAGCCCCTGTCTGGGTGGCGATCGGAGACAAGTCCCCTGCAGCAGCGGCAGGCAAGGTTATATAGGAAGAGAAAGAGCCAGGCAGCGCCAGAGGGAACGAACGAGCCGAGCAAGGAAGGGAGAGCCGAGCGCAAGGAGGAGCGCACACGCACACACCCGCGCGTACCCGCTCGCGCACAGACCGCGCGGGGACAGCTCGCAAGTCCTCAGGTTCCGCGGACGAGATGCTGCTGCTAGCGAGATGTCTTCTGGTGGTCCTCGCTTCCTCGCTGCTGGTGTGCCCCGGGCTGGCGTGCGGGCCCGGTAGGGGGTTTGGAAAGAGGCGGCACCCCAAAAAGCTGACCCCTTTAGCCTACAAGCAGTTTATTCCCAACGTAGCCGAGAAGACCCTAGGGGCCAGCGGCAGATACGAAGGGAAGATCACAAGAAACTCCGAGAGATTTAAGGAACTCACCCCCAATTACAACCCCGACATCATATTTAAGGATGAGGAAAACACGGGAGCAGACCGACTGATGACTCAGGTAGAGACCCATTACGGGTGGAAAACGGGCTCCTTCCCCTGGGGGATTGCGTGTGACCCAGCAGTCAGCCCTGCTCTGTTTGCTCTTTGGGCAGGTAGGAAGGCGGCTTGGCCCTCTCCTTCCCCACCCACCTGCCCACCTAACACTCCTCTTCCGGGAGGAGAAAGGAGGTGAAGGGTCCAGCAGGAAGTTTAGGGTTTGGGTGGAGTGGGGGCACCAGAAGATGGGGTTCGCTATGTCCTTCATTTAATTAGTTTCCGGGGTGGCCTCCTCTATCTATCTGTCTCTATTCTAGCTTGTAACTTGGAGAGACCTTCACTCTTGGGGGTGTCTGCCCTTTCCAAGCAGGGACAGAAAATGGAGGGAGTGTGGATGCCCCTATACACTTCAGGGGGCTTCCAGGGCATTGCAAACCCAGCCTGGAGCATCCCAGCTCCTAACTCCTAATTTTCCCTTTTCTGTGTTTTTTCCCCAAGACCACCCCCACCCTTTACCCTGCCACCACCAAAGAACTCTAACTGGGAAAGCCAGGGGGCAAATCTGACAAAAGGCAGGAGCTCCAGGGGTGCTCGCCTTGTCACCACTGAACCCCATAGCCTGACTGTGATCCCCAGTTGTGCCGGTCAGGGGGAATGTATCGATATTTCTTTAAGGATGCTCCTCTGTTCTCCAGAGCCCGCGGTACCTTAGGGGAGGGACTTGGAACTTGCTGGTTTTGCAATCGCTTTAATTTTCAACCTGCTTGCATAAGAATCCGAAGAGAATAAATATTAGTGGCGGCGAGAGTGGATGGACAGAGGGCAAAGCAAAACACAATCCTCTCTCCCATCCCACCTCCTTTGAGATTTCTAGGCTGCCAATCTCCCAGGCAAATCAAGACTTTCTGAAACTCCACGCACGTCTGACTGAAGCTGGAAATGGGTTTCCTTGCAAATATAGGTCAGCATCCTTTTTACTGCCCTATTAAAATATTCAAGTCCTACCTTTAGGGCTAGGTGCGCCAAGAGGCTGGTGGAGCGGCGCTGGCTGGGCACAGGAGCAGGGGGCGGGGGCTGGAGAAAGCGAGCGTGGAACTGCCTGCTACGCGTCGCACAGCTCGCTACCAGGTACCTGCTGACTGAGAAGCCTAGGAGACTAGCCTTAGGGTGGCAGGCCAGAGCTGGAGCGGGGGAGGGGGGTGTCTTGGAGACAGAGGACAGGACCATTCTCCCCCCCCCCATCTCCCTCATCTGCTCCCGACCACCTTAAATCTGGACCGCGAGTGTGGGCGCGCGCGCGCGGGAGCCGGGAAGCTGCAGTTAACTCTGCGCGGGCCGCGGGATGCCGGGCTAATGCAGCTTGCAGGAGCGAGTTCTCCAGCCAGCGTTTATTCCCTGGTTGCCCAGCACCCCCACCCCACCCCGGGGGAGACTGCATCTCATGGTGAGGAGATCTTTAGGAACGTATAAGGAAGACGATGCTAAAGCTAAGAGGCCTGGTGAGGACACGCAAGGTCCCTCGACCCGGGTGGGTCTGCGAGGGGGTCCCAGGCAGGCTCCCTTGCCCAGCGCGCCGGGCCTCTGCGTGCTGCAGAGCTGCGAGAGCGCGGAGCCGTGTGGCAGACGCCTTTCAGCTCCACTTACTCCTGCGTTATCGATCCTGCGGCTAGGGTTTCAGCGCGCGCGGGGCTGGGCTCTGGCTGCTTGTCCCTCGCTCTGCACGCGCCGAGCGCGCCCCGCCGGAGCGCTGGGCTCCGAGCGCGCTCATTCCCTTCGGCGGGCGCGCAGGCAGGGGTTGAGCTGGGAGGAGTCGCAAAGCAGGGAGCTCCGCGGGCCTGACCTGGGCTGCAACTCTTTGCTGCCTTCTCGGACCCTTTTGCCTTAGCGTCCTAAACGGAAACCCCAGCTACGTCCCTTCCTCCCGATGGTCCTCCTGGCCCGGGACCCAAGGCCCAGCAGCCCTACACTCTCGCTGCCGCTGTCGCCGCCGCCGCCGCTGCTGTGTGCGCGCGCGAACAGCATTTGAACTTCTGACCTTCTGTCAAGTTCCTTCAGAGGGACGAAACGAAAACAAATACTTTTTTCCCTTGGGCAGTGGCTATCCTGGTTCCCAACACAAAAAGAAAGGGTAGAGACAGCAAAAGTGGGGGGTGGGGAAGGCCAGGATCTTCTCACCCACCTCGCAAAAGCCCCCTCCCCAAATGAGGATGGCTGTAAAGGTGGCAATCTGGAAGTTCCCCTTGGTATACCCCTCGCCAGCCTCTTATTCCGGGTTGGCGGAGTTAAGAGGGAATGGGAAGGAAGGTTAGAGGTGACGGGGTGAAGCCTGAGGATCTCGGGCTCAGGGTTTGAGCATTCTCCTGGGAACATGCCATCCGCCAGCCCCTCTGGAACCCTCTTGCCTGCCTCCCAGTCTGTCTCTCTAAGGTGACTGAGCCCAAGTCCCTCAACCATGGCAGGATTGTCCCCCGTGGAACTTTCAGAGCAGTTCTGGATCGCAGGAGCTCCTGGTTAATATTAACTCAAGAGAGGGAAGCGCAGACAGACACTCTCCTTGCGCAGGCCAGGCCCCAGAGAGCGCCAGGCTGTTGTGCCCGCGGCCAGGGGCCTGGGGTGGGAGGCCGCATGGGGCCTGATCTGCGGACTCTGCAGGCTCAAGAGGGGAGAGGGGACCACCTGAGGAACCTGACTGAATAGATTTCCTGGGTGCTTAGGTGCTAGCTGGGAGGAGGAGCCCAGGTGTGGGTTTGAAGAGTGGTTTCTGCTTTGAAGAGTGGAGTCTGGCCCCGTCCCAGTTAGGGGAAGAATGGAGTGGGGTGTGTTTAGAAAGTAGTCTCTTGAAGTGGGTCACCGCCTCTCTCACGATGTGGGAAGCCCACTTTGGGAGGTGACGGTCCCTGCCTGCTTTGCGCTCACGAACTGCGCAGCCGGTGTGCAGATCGGGGAGGTGGGCTGGAGACCCAGGAACAAGTTGGCCTCCGCAGACACAAAGCCGGGCCCCAGTGACCCTGCCGGGCTTCACGGTGGCTGCACAGAGTCGGGCTTGATTAGCGGCACACGACCCAATGAATTAATAACCGAGCCGAGCTTCCCGGCTTTGCCTGTACCTTCCCTCGCAGTGCGGGCGGGGGAGTACCCTGCCCTAAAGGCCTGCAGAGTCGCGCTGGGCCTGGTGCGGGGGGGGGGGGGGAGGGCTGTGAGGCACCGGGTGCCAACTCAGGCGACAATCGGCCTGGGCCTGTCCGAGTCGAGGGCCCATCTCAGCCCGGAGTTCTTTGCCTGGGATTCTCCGCGTCTGCCCTAATGGTGCAGCTCAGGGTACCCGACTTCGGAGCCCTCTGCAACCTACCCTAGCTTGTCTCTGCTGCGGGATAGGAAGCTTGTTAAAGCCACTTCGCTGGCTTCCCCCTCCTGAGAGAAGGGAGCGGAGCGGGTGGAGTACAAGCTGGAATGAAGGAGGAGATAAACTGCGCGTACCGTGGTGTGCGCCTGCGCGCACTGACTTCAAATCTCGGTTTTAAACTGACCCAGGTTTACTTATTGATTTTCATGAAAAACGCGTTCAGTCCCTAAGATGACCTTACTCTAACTCTGTCCTTTGGACTTGCCTCCTAAAGAAAACCGCTGGCAGGCCCGAGCAGACCTGTTGTTACTATAGCCCTCCTGTTTGTGGTGTGTTTAACTCTACAATCATATTCCTGGGCTTTACTGTTGTATATGACTTTTCCTCTTGTCTGTCCCCGAAGGCCTGGGCAACAGTCCCTTCAAGAGTCATTCTGGCTAAAGTTAGTCATCTAGGGGTCATTCTCTCGCCCTGTAACCTGCTCCAAATCCTCTCAGCCTGAGGGATCGTAGGCGACCGCCCTACCCTCTGCAGAAATCAATTTGAAATTATCCCTGCCTCCACTGGGGTCCAATTCTCTGGGTAATGTGCCCTTTCCATTTTGCCCCCAGCCACAACCCCCCCAATCGCATGCCACCATAAACTTCCAAGAGACGGGTTACTGCCCCCACACACCTGACTCAGCTCCTTCCCTTTTACATCTTTTTTTTAATGTGGGCCAAGAGTGCCCCCACTCTCCCAAGTTCCACTTTGCCCTGCACGCCCGCCGGAGGGGGAGTAACAGGAGTTCCACAGAACCTCCTCTTGGGCAGGACTCAGAAGCCTTGGGCCTTTCCGGCGCTCCCCATCCCCCTACCTTTCCCACCCCACCCCCATCCACTTCTTAAGTTTGCTCTTCAAACTTGCTGGACACCATTCTGTGCAGGCCAAGAAAACAAGAGGGGAGGAAGAGAGCTGGTCAAAGAAAACACGAATACAATCAGGCCCCAGACAAGCCTGGCAGAGGGGAGCTCCTTGGGGGAAAGAATGTGGCTGCCTGGACCAGGAATGTTTCTCTGGCCCTGCTTGCCTGTCAGTGAGCTGCTTCCCACCCCTCACAGGGGCTTTCTTCAGGCCAGGCAGATAGAGGGCAGGCCCGGCCTCCACAAATAATGCAGTTCCAGTTCTTAAAGGGCACCAGAAGTCCTGTCTCACCAAAGAGATACACTTGGGATCTCACTCAAGGAAAAAGTGCCCTTTCTCCCTGGCCAATGTAGCTGCATCTCAGTTTGTGGGTTGGAGACAGGCCCTCAGCGGCTGCTGTGCCTCCACCCCAGGGTCCCAGGTCTGCGGTTGGTAGAGAAACCACCAACTAAGTTGCCTGTCACTTAGACTTCCTCCTTCTCCCTACAGAGGTGCAAAGACAAGCTAAATGCCTTGGCCATCTCTGTGATGAACCAGTGGCCTGGAGTGAAGCTACGGGTGACTGAGGGCTGGGATGAAGATGGCCATCATTCCGAGGAGTCTCTACACTACGAGGGCCGGGCAGTGGACATCACCACATCTGACAGGGACCGCAGCAAATATGGCATGCTGGCCCGCCTGGCTGTGGAGGCCGGCTTCGACTGGGTCTACTATGAATCCAAAGCACACATCCACTGCTCTGTGAAAGCAGGTAAGCAAGCCTCCCCATGGCCTTTCTCCACCACCCTCCACCTCCAACCCTTTCCACCAGAAGGTCTTATCTGCGGGGAGCAGATAAGAGCCATGAAAAGAGGGGAACGCTCTTGAAAATGAGTAGATTTCTGTAGTGGGGGTATGTCCTATGACAGACACCCCACCACAGCACCCCAGCCAGGTACCTCTGAAACCTTTCAGGCCACTGGCCAGCATCTCTACATGTCCAGATTCCCAGGCTGTGTGGTTTCTAGAAGCCCCTGCTTCGGGTAATAGAGACGTAGGTGTCAGAGAACATTGTGGAAGGGGGTCCTAAGACTCTGGTTTAGCCTGGCGATTCCTGATTTAGCCAGAGCTCACCTTGATTATCCCTCTCATCTAGGGACCCCCTCCCCTACCCTCCCCCACCCCCACACACACCAAGGGCTGAAGTGGATGTCCCGGGCATAAACCTAGGTACAGGCTCCTCCCCGCTGGGCTCCTGTGGATTCAAAACTAACTTAACTCACTCGCTAAGCATATGGGGGGAAAAGGCCTGGTGAGAGGTAATAAACTCTGTACTTCCAACCTCGGGAGGCCGCAAGCCCAGAAGCATCCGTTCTTATTAGAAGCCCAGCTGGCATGCAGAGAGCCCCTGGCTAGACTGCCGAAGGCGATCCCACCGAGCGGCCGCAACCAGCCAGTGCGAGGCGGGGTTCCTTGAGCCTGCAACGCCACACTCTGTTGCGGGGAGGAACAGCTAGGGAGGCAGGCAGCCAGCACACGTGCTCCAGCCTCTAGGGATTGTGTGCCCTGGCGGGGCGGTTCATGATGACTTTTCCCTTAAGGTCTGTCTTCCGCCACCGCCGTCCTGCCCCCTCGCGTTCCCCAGATCACCAGAGTGTATTTTAACGACACAGACTAGTTGGAACTTAAACATCAAGAAACACTGACTAGGTAAAGAGAAGTGTGGCTCTGGCAACAAAAACTAGCTAGGGCGCTCAGGAGCGGTGACAGGAAGGCCTGTAGGAAGGTGTCAGCTCCAGAAACCCCCCCTAAAGTGGGCACTCCTCTCAGGCCAGGGTGAGAAGAAATGCAGGTGGCAGAATAGCCCAGTAAACTCGTCCCTGAACCTCAAGTCTGCACTGGACACACAAGGCTTCCCTGCCTCCCCGGTTCGCGGAGTCCCTAGGGGATCTCCTCCCAAATGAGCAGCGGTAATCCGGCTCCGAGGGTCTCTCGCAGGCAGTACAGACCCCAGTCTTGGAGGGCAGCTCATTGGCATTCTGCGCACGCGGGCTGGGACACCGCGCCTTGTGTGTCAAGCGGGGTCGTGCGACTCGACGACTCGGGCTAGCTAGAGCCCGGGGTCGCATTCCGGGGGGCTATGGAGTGCTTCCAACTGCCAGCCCCGCACTTCATGCCGGAGAAACCGATGAGAAGATTAAAAGCCTTCTGTAATTCCAGCAGGAAGATTCTTTCTGGCAATCTCTATTTGCCAAAAGCATGATCCTGGAGATTGGAATGCAAAGAAGACTGGGACCTCCCCACCCCTCCTCCCTGGCCCCCTGCGCTCCGCCCCATCCTCAATTATTGTCCTCCGGGACAGTGAGCCTCCAAGAGCTACAGAGGGCTGGGTAAAGCGGGTAGTCAAGGGGCCTTGAGAACCCGCGCTTCCAGCGCTCTGAGCAGGCCTGGCCATTTAAAATTCAAATACACATCTCGAGTGCTTGGAAGAGAGGCCGGGCTGTGCAAATAGTGCCTTGTGAGGCCCGGGCTTCTGGAGAGTCCCTGTGTGTGAACTGCACGAGGGGGAGGGGGTTTGCACCTGAGCAAATAGGGAGGGGGCAGCCAGCGAGCTGGAGAGTGAGCTGAGAAATGGGGAAGAGGGAGAAATGGAAGTGCCCCCTTTTCCAAGGCTGTCTCCTATTTATCCCACAAATCACAATGACAATACCCAGCTCTTTATTGGATTTTAATTAGAAAATCCACACAAGTCTTGGGCTTTCACACCTCGGGCAAACCTCTGGAATGTTTGTCCAGTTGCTACAACGACTACAGCTATTTTTTGCTCCCCGCCCCCTGGCCATCCACTGGCCAACAACCAAGGCCCTCACTGGGGAAGCGAGAGGCGGGGGCGGCCCGGGTTCCCCAGGCGCAGCCTTCTCGCACCGCGCACTGGGAGGCGCCGCGCCCTGCTGTCCGGGCGCAAGAGAGGAGGGTGCGCCCGGCGCCCGCGCGAGCTCAAGGAGGCTTCCTGAGGAATCCAAGTGGAGAGTAAATATCCTTCTGGGTTCGCGGCGAGGCTGGGTGCAAGAGAGGGGGATGGGACAGGAGGCAGAAGGAAAGTTAGGAGTGCCCCCCCCCGCCCCCTGCAGGAGATGCCCGCTAACTTTTCCCCTTGCGGGTGCAATCCTGAAGAGTGGTCTGAATTTAACCGCTGGGGCGCTGGGATTGCTGGCACAGGACGGTCTATGCTAGACCAGTCTGGATCCACGAGATATCCCCCCCCAAATGTCCCCGCTTCCCATCACGCGGGCACCCCTGGTCGAGCCGAGTGGGGACGAACGTGCACGGCCACCGCACACGCGCACATAAACAACCCGAGTATACCTTTCTCCTTTGGCACTCAACACCCCGTCTCTCTCTTCCCTGCAGAGAACTCCGTGGCGGCCAAATCCGGGGGCTGCTTCCCGGGATCCGCCACAGTGCACCTGGAGCAGGGTGGCACCAAGCTGGTGAAGGACCTGCGTCCAGGAGACCGCGTATTGGCGGCTGACGACCAGGGCCGGCTGCTGTACAGCGACTTCCTCACCTTCCTGGACCGCGACGAAGGCGCCAAGAAGGTCTTTTACGTGATCGAGACGCGGGAGCCGCGCGAACGCCTGCTGCTCACCGCCGCGCACCTGCTCTTCGTGGCGCCGCACAACGACACGGGAGCCGCGGGGCCCGCACCCGGACCGAGCGCGCTCTTCGCCAGTCGTGTGCGCCCCGGCCAGCGTGTGTACGTGGTGACCGAGCGTGGTGGGGACCGCCGGCTGCTGCCGGCCGCGGTGCACAGCGTGACGCTGCGCGAGGAGGCCGCGGGCGCGTACGCGCCACTCACGGCGCACGGCACCATCCTCATCAACCGTGTGCTGGCCTCGTGCTACGCAGTCATCGAGGAGCACAGCTGGGCACACCGGGCCTTCGCACCCTTCCGCTTGGCGCACGCGCTCCTGGCCGCGCTGGCGCCCGCCAGCACGGACGCCGGGGGTGGGGGCAGCATCCCCGCACCCCAACCCTCAGCGGAGACAAGGGGCTCAGGGCCGGCCTCAGGCATCCACTGGTACTCGCAGCTGCTCTACCAAATTGGTACCTGGCTGTTGGACAGCGAGACCTTGCATCCCTTGGGAATGGCGGTCAAGTCCAGCTGAAGTCAGAGGGGACTGGGCAGGGGATGTGGGGGCGGGCGGGGCGGGGAGCGACTGCGACTGTGAGATAAGCAACCGACGCGGGAAAGCTCACGGAAGGAGACTTTTAATTATAAGAATAATTAATAATAATAATAATAAGTAGGACAGTCCAAAGTAGACTATAAGGAAGCAAAGACCCTGGGGAGTTCTATTGTTGTGTTTAGTTTATATATATTTTTGAATTTTTTTTTGTTATTGTCTTATTTGGGTTATTTTTCTCCTCTCCTGGCTATTTATTTGTTTGGTATGAATAGATGTTTTAAATAATATGAACGGACCTTCAAGAGCCTTAACTAGTTTGTGTCTTGGATAATTTATTATCGTGTGAACTGTACTCACGGGGGGGGGGGGGATTATTTTGTGAGGCCAAGCAACCTGCTGAGAGACTATTTTTCTACACTCCCTCGTCCTGCGCATCAGAAGGCAAAATTCTGCATTCTTTGTCTGCTAGGGTCCTGCTTTTCGGCAAGTGTAAACTAAAACATGCTCCATGGGGGTCCACAGATTATATTTTTATACACAGAATTGTAAATTAGATTTTTGAGAGATCAATACTTAACTGAATGACATTTCATTTTTTTGAAATAGTGTAAAATATGAAAATATATTATTTTAATTTAACTATTTTCCAATGTAACAGCCGTCTTCTGTGCTGCCTTCATGGTTTGTATCTGCCACTTTGGTCATGTTCTTGGAAATCAAGACTGTTAACGCACACATACACACTTTTTTTTGACAAACTGGAAGAACTCTGTTATTTTTAACTTCAAAGAATTTATTAGAAAATAATATTTTTTAAAAGCGCACATAGTGATGAGCCCACGAGGATGGAGCCTGTAGTTTGTACAGAGAAAAAAGGATGTTTTTGCATTAATAAACTGAGAAATAACTGCTGTAAATTTACTAAAATGTATTTTTGAATATTTTGTAATAGTTTTATAGAAATAAAGTGTGCCACGCACCCAGTGGTTAGTAGATATTTCCTGAGAATTCCTGTTGCGACCCTTTTTTTTTTTTTTGGCTTCATTTTCTGAGAAATCTGCAGCCCTAGTATTCTGTTGAATTGTAATGTTTCTACTGTGAATTCAGACCCACTGACTTAGGAAACCAAAGTCAACAGAACAAATCCACTGGAGAGACCTCAGTCCTGTGCTTGCTAGGCAAAGCTCTGTCCACACTCCCCAGAGTGGGTGGTGTTTAGGGGACAGTCTGCCCCCAAGCCCCCAGAGGAGAGGCCCAGCATCTACAGACTCCTTCCAATGGTCACTGGGTGCCTTTCTCTGGCCTTGTGGTCTCTGTGCTGTAGGGAGCAGGCTCCATAGTTTAAGATGCTGTGTCCTTTCCAGGCAGGGTCCCACAGGAGCTTGACTCTCTCAACCCTGCTAGCATGGTCCTCGGGTTAACTTGTCCACCTGGACCTGGAAAGCTGCCTAATAGAGGGTGGGTGTTGCCAGGGTCCTCTGACCACTTAGTATCTCTTGATCCTGGCCTATCTGGAACAACGGCAAAGCCGGCAGTTTATCCCCAAGACTCAGTCAGTGCCGGTGTTAGCCAGGTGGAGGATCCCTTCCAGTTTATTGATGCCTGGCAGTGTGTTCAAGAGGACACTGGCCTGGACCCGGGTCAGGGCCCAGGCCTAGGCTCACTCCTGGTTCTTTAGTGTGCCAAAGTAAGCCCTGCTCTGTGACTTGGGGAGGTGCATCTAAGAAAGCTTTGGCCAGGGTCTCTGGGCAGATGGAGCCAGAGCAGGGGCTGGCCCTGGTTTAAGAAGCAGCACTAAGTGAAGTTTCCAACTGCCTGGCAGATCTGACTCCTAAGGAGAGGCCTTTGTGGGTGCCTGCAGCCCCGGAGGAGCTTCTTGGTGAGAGCCTGTCCTCGGAGGTTTGCCCAGGAGCCTGTGCCCACTAGAGTAGTCTTGGGTCAGGGAATTGTCCTCTACCTGCTTCCCCAAGGCCAGCCCTCTAGGTGGCAGCAGGCCTTGGTTTCTCTCCACAAAAGATTTTTCTTTGGTCTCAAAGGTGGTAAACATTTTCAAAGCTGGTGTTACCGATGCCTCTTGGGATTGGCTGTTCTCTTCTTTGGTCCTTTCTGATTAGGCCAGCAAAGGCAAACCGGAACAACTGCCCACACCAACAACCCTGCCTATGCCAAGCAGTGTGACCAACTACCCATGCCACCCAATGGTTTGCCATAGACTAAGAGGTGGAAACAATGGTCCCACAGAACTAATTAAACTCCAACCAGCACCTGCTCCTGGAGGGGCCAGTTGCATTGTTGCTGCCCACCTGCCAGGCTTCCTCGGTCCTTTGGAAGATCTTTCTATATAGTAAAAGAATTACGTAGAGGGTATAGTACAGGTCATCCTGCTCTAACAGGGCACCATGTCTTTCTTCAGGACTGGTGAACTGTGGCGCTTACTGCTACCCCCTCCTTCACAAGCACTTATCTATTCTTACAAAAAAAACTGCATCAGAATGGTCTCAAAACTGCTATCTTTGTACTATATGGTTTGAATAATTTAACAAATCGCAGAGACTTCCTGCAATGTCTGTTATGTGGCAGAATTCCTATCCCGGGATGTCACACACATTCTTCGTGTCCCTCCAGGAGAGCAAGCTGCAAATGTGAAAGAAAAATCCCATTGAGAGGCTGGGTGGACTGAGTCAAGCTGTGGGAGTTTCTCCTGTGCAGGAAGGCATGATACTCAGCTGCTGATAGGGTGGCAGAGTGGTCCTCCCCCGGTGGGATCCCTCTGCTGTCAGCATCACACTCAAATGGGAAATGCTGGACACACTTGCAAAGAATGCCGGGTGGCTGCTAGGTTTAGCCAGAAAGCACCAAAGTGCCTGCCAGAGACTCAGGCTGGCACACGGAAACTCAGCCTTCAGGGTTCTCTAAGACTCAGGGGAGCTAGGCCAGCCTTCTCTGCGGGATGTGGCCAGCACAGGGCTCCACAGGAACAAACCACAAGCTGCTTCTCTGGTCTTGACTTTGTTCAAGCACTCTGCTGGGAATACATTCAAAGACAGAGGCTGCAAGCTATGGGCCTGGGACAAATCTAGTCCAAGGCCTACTTCCATCTAACTCGTGAGCTGAGATTGTTTTTAGCACCTTTAAATGTCTGAAACAAAGAATCTAAAGGATGATAGATATTTCATGGCGCCTGAAAGCTACATAAACTCGCAGTTGAGTGCAGATCAGTAAAGTTTCACTGGAACACACCAGGTATGCTCACAGCAGACTGCCCATGGCCTCCTTCCTGCAGAGCTGCTGGACAACAGAGGCCTTGAGGCCTGTGCAGCCCTGGATATGCACTGCTCTTGACAGGGCTGTTTCTAGTCATCTCTGTAGGATCCAAACCAGGTGCTGAGGAGGTGGTTTGGGAAGCATAGTGTTTAGGACACAAACTTGAGGAAGCAAACATGACCCGAGCTTTTCCCACATGAAAGGCCTGGTGCCCCAGTGTTTTCCTGTGATTCCAGCACTGGAGCAATGAAGCAGGAGAATCCAGGGGCTTGCTGGTCAGCTAGCATGGCTAATCAGTGAGCTTCAGGTTTAATTAAAAACCAAAATTGGGGCTGGAACAATGGCTCAGCAATTGAAAGCACTGGCTGCCCTTCCAGAGGATCTGAGTTCAATTCCCAGCACCCACGTGGTAGCTGTCTGTAACTCCAGTTCCAGGGGGATCTGACACCTTCATGCTAATGCACATAAGATAAAGTTAAATAATTTTTTAAAAATTTGGTTTGAGGGCTAGGGACAGGGCCTGGGGTTGCAGAGGCCTGCTACCATTAGAAGCAGGGGTGTCTTTCACTAGAATTCACAGGACTGTACACAATGCCTTCCTCCTTGAGAGTAAGAGAGGACTTCAGAGGGTTTGGGTCCAGGCCAGTGGGCAGCCACCCCACCTGGTGGTGAAATAGCAAAGTTGAATGTCAATCAACGATGTGCTTGGACAGAGAGAGAATATCCCAGGCCCAGAGGCACCACCTCCCAAAAGAAACTTTGCAAATCACCCCAAAATAAGAGTCTGGGATTAGGAGGGAAATAGCGGTTTCTCCTAGAGCTTGATTCTTAAGTTCAGAAAATGCATTACCAACATGCACTTCACCACATTGAGAGCGCTAGGCCCCTGGGAAGGAGGCCTGTCTCCAGCATGGAATTCGCTGCCATTGTCTACTCTGGTCTCCAGCAGGACAGCCATGTCTCCAGATGGGACGTCCGTAGAAGAAGAACTGATAACATGACATATATCAAAGAAAAACTGTCCCTACCCCAAACTGATTCCCCAGTGGGGTTTTGTGCAAGGTGAGGACCTGGGTGTGGCTTCTCCAGAGAAATGACACTCTTTCCCCTGGGTCAACCTAATTTTAGCGGGGAAATTGCCTTCAGTGAGCCTAAGCATAGTTCAAGGGCTGGCTTTTAGATACTGACAGCCCAAAGGCTAACCCATTCCTTGAAAGGAACCTTAAGGCCCAGGCCCATGCTGATGTCTGTGTACCAAGTCCATGGGGTTCCAGCTGACAGCTGTCCCGATGCACCCATCTCTGGCTAAGAGGGCAAACCAAGCAGCCAGGCAGGGGAATGAGACCTGGGAGGCTGGTTGCAATCACCTGAGCAGTTCATGCCACTAGAACAAACGGACTCAGAGGTTCCTAGAAGGCGTACATGGAGAATAAACAGAGGAGGATACCTGACGTTCACCTTGGCCACCAGGTGCACATGTACACACACACACACACACACACACACACACACACACACACGACTGTCCACTGCTCTGGACCAAAACAACCTGCGAGGGCCTGTCTCGCTCTCCTCTGGACACAAGCGTAAACGACGCTGGTTGCAGAAGAGTTGGCCCTGGGCCTTTTACTCACAAATATCCAGATCCTCTCCTTTTTCTTACTCTCATTTATCCCAGGAGCATGAGGCATGGGTGAGGGTGTGCTTTTCATTTTCTAGGCGCTGTCAATTCCCTGTG